GCCCTCCTTCCGCCGACACGCGCATATGGCGAAGTGCGTACGCACCTTTGGCAACACAAGCCAAATTTGATTTCAAACGCTTCGAAGATTAAAATCATCAGTTTTGTCGGATATCATCATATTCATCTTCGGATTAGGATTCATTACGGTCTTGTCTCACAGTATTTTATAATACCATTGCCGGAGATGGAGAAGGACTCACCTAAGCTATAGAAGAGTTCTCTCCAGAGGAAGACAGAGTTCCAAATAGGAAGAAGACTTCGGGGTAGAGAGGGTTGCCTTCAGTTGAGTATAAACTGCTAGCCTGAACTCGGACACCCTCAACTGAAAATTTAAAAATTTGAATGATTTACAAATCATTATTGATTCGGTTGTCATTAATCATATTTTAAGCTATAATTTCGTCAGAACTGGTCATCTTTAAGCTATACACCATCGAGTAATGTTGTTTGTGCTTACAATTAGTCCCGTGCAGCTTTCAGTTCTCTCAATTCCAGCCATATTAGCGAAATGGTAGTATGAGTTACAAGGGTGTATGTGTGTTTTTGAAGATGCATTGAATTGCTCGATTTATTGGAATTTCAGTGAGAAATAATCTCATCAACATATTAAGATTCTCGTTAATCTCGTTTAACGAATGTAACTCGACACTTACGATTAATATGATGTGATTGAGCATTTTTGTTGCAGATGTGGATTTGTATTTGAAATATTTGTTGAATCGTGATGGCCAAGGTAGAAAGAAGTGCACACGTCATTTCAATTATTCGACAGATTTTTTCGGAACTACGAAAAAGTGATGAGGTGTGTTGCTGGCATGGAATTTGTGCATTTTTATTGCCATTTCACTTCAGAATACGACTTCTTTCGGAGTTCTCGTATCGTTGTTTTGTTGCAGAAATTTTCATCGAAGAGTCCACTTGCACAGTATATTATGAAACAATGTCGCGAACATCAGTTGACTCAAAAAATAATGTGCAAAGCACCCGATGAAATGGAGCATCTTGCATCAACGTACAGGCATTATCTGCAGAGTACAAGGCGTTCGAAAGAGTTGCATGAACGATACCATGTAAGTGGATTGAATTTTCATACATTTTGATGAAAATATTGGAACTTATTTAGTGCTTTTTACATACCTCCATCCATTGAATTCATGTGAAATTTGCTGAAAACCAGCTTTTCAAATTCTTTTCGTTTCAGCATGGAGAACGTTCAGTCGAGCAGAGCGCCAATTTAGTAGGCTTGAAATTGCCGGAAAAACACAAATGATTCGACTGAAGAATGATGCACACTCATTGTTCATAATGCGAAGTTTAATTTGTGGAAAATATCATCATGCTCATCTAATTTTTCGAAAAAGTCACTGCAGTTTGTTTATCTGTGCATATGATATTCTGGCAAATACGATCATGCTCATTGTAAACCCTGGAAAATGTTAGGTTTTGTGTGTCAATAATTTTGTATCTGTATGAATGAAATGCAATCGATTGATTGCTCTTATTTATTTGTAGTAGATAAAACAATAAAGATTATACGATATTGCTGTCATTTTCTCGCGTATCCTACGGTTGAGAAACCGTTGCAAATATATTTTATATGTTATCGTTTTGTGACGTTCATTCATATTCGTAGAGATATTCATAATTTTATGGTATCTTTGGCACTCCAACTTGTCATATATGGAACAAACCTGACTGGTTAAGTGTTTATTTGAGGCAAAAAACAGTCAGGAGATCGCTGTGGTTTCACTATTCAATATTGTTGTTATTAGCAAATTTCATGCGTGCAAAAAATTTCCATCAACGCAAGTAGCTAGAGACTAGGCCTCATTGCCTTTGTTCATGCACCTTTCAATTTATAATTATAAGCAAGCTGAAATTCATGATTATTTATTTTGAATTTATCATAGGTGAATAATTCGGTGGTATCCGCTCACATATCGACATAGTCAGAATTCTCTTCTTTTTTTCAGTTGGTCAAGTCACATGGCTGAAATAACATCTCGTTATGCGTATTTGTTACAGCCAGTAAGAGATCTCGCCAAAAACTGGGATATCGACATCATAGCGTATTTGGCCGAATGTGTTGAAAGGTATTTCTGCATTAAATTTTCATCTCAGTTCTTCAAGAAGCATCAACAAATTTCAGTTTTATTGTTGATTCTTTGGCTTCTTTTAGGACAACATTAGCCGATATCGTTGTTAGTTTGAAAGCCGTCACTCTGATTTTTAGTAACAACTGCGTAAACATTAGAGTTTGGTATTGTTTCACAGTCACTTTTTCATCACCAAATTAAAAAATTTTCCAGCATTCTGCAAGAAAACGCAAACGATGAGAATGAAGCAGATGAGAAGCATCATTTCAACTTTCCCGAGGCCGGTCTGCTCATTCAGAGCACGTCGGACGTTTACAGTCGTAAAGTTGAGTACGTTTTCGAGTTGGCACTCGGTTTCTCTGATCAAGTACGACTGCAAAAAGGCAAAAATCGGAACGCAGGGGCGCAAGAAGGCGATGACGATGACGATGCCGAAGCGGCGTTCGATTCGCATCCAGCGGATCCGTGCGATCTGATTGACTTCACCACTCTACGGCCCCAACAAGCAAAATCTCTTCAACACAAAAGCGACTCCAGTGTTCCATCCACATTTCCAGTGGTAGATTAATTTGTATCTTTGAAAATCATTCAGTCATCACTTATTACATTCAAACATACAATTTTTTAACGGGCTGTTTTATGCATTATTTTATTCGTGCATCGATCATTTGATGTGGCATTTCATATTGTTTATTTTGTTCGCAGTTGCCTTTGTCAATGATGCGTCTAGCTGAGTTCGAGAAGAGCAGTGTTACGTTGTACGCACGTCGCAATAATAAGGAACTGATCGGTCGAAAAGATGATTTCAAAATCAACACTGCATTCGTACACGACACTGTTAGTTTCTTCACAACTGCTTCGTTAGTTTTATCTCTCGATATCAGTGCTGTTAATGTTGTTATCATCATCTCTAATGGTGTCATTATCGCCTCACAAAATCTGAACACACTATCGTCACTTTCGCCTCATTGTGAAATCCATGCAAGTGTTGGATGAATGAATAGACGAGATGATTTTACCGAATGAATGTCTCCGTAAGCTTTCTGAATTCATTGTTGGCTTGAAGAATTGCTTGAGTTGTTCATGTTCCGTTGGAATAACAAGTTGTCTTCAGTTCACGAAATCTTCTATTGATTTGATATTCAGCAGCGAGTGGTATTTCCCTCTCTCAGTATCAAATTGCATCATTTGTTTAATCGTTGTGATTGAGATTNTTTTTCAGTGTTGTTTATTGCTGGATTTGGTGAACGAGAAGTTACTGGATCAGTTCGATGCTGTGAATGCGGATGAAACTGAAGCGACAATGATGCCTGAACATATGGAAGTGGATGGTGATGACAATACAATAAGAAACAACAATGAACTTGCAGCTATAAGGCCAGATGAAAACGTACAGACAAATGGTGAATATTTTGTTCTTGTCATTTGCAGTAACTGTGAATTAAATCAAAAAGAAGATTTTAGAATTGCGTTCAAAATCCTCAGATTGAGATTAGTGATTTTTGTTGTGAAAATTCCATCGTTTTTCATCTCAGTTTGTCCTTGAAGAAGAAGCAACAGTTCTGTTTTTCGTAGATGGCATATATCGAAGCCGTATGCAGAACTTCTGATGACGTCTTAAAAGACCATAACCCCATAATTAAGCATTGAGTTGTTCCACTTCCCTTTGATAATTTCAGAAATGCTATTTCACACAATCTGCTTATATGTTTGTTTCAACGAATCGCTACTAATGGGGAATCAATTTAAACTGAATCCACCCAAAATTATGTATCGTTGATTCGTATCTTTTGGATATTAGTGTTGTCGTTCTCAGTGCGAGATGCCGTTCTTTCCTTCCCCAAATAGGCCGTTTCAATTGAAGGAAGCATTAGCATATATGCAAGAAAATTTACGTTTGTTCTCTGTTCAGATGGTGCTGATCGCGAGCGAGGGCGTTCGAGTGCAGTGATTGAAAACGATCGTCGGGCGACGGGTGATAATGACGTCGCGTTGGTGGTGGAAACAGGGGCAGACGGTACGGTACTGTTCACAAATACGGCACAACGAGAGCAGTTGAAGGAGCTGGACGGTGATAGTTGTGGTCAGTGGAGTGATGGCGATGATGGGGATCAGTTTGACGACGGTGACGATGTATGTTTGGTTTTTTATCTCGATTCGTTCGAGTCGTTTATTACTATTTTGTTGAATTTTGCGTCTGTATGATGCTTGTGTTGAGAACGATAGCTGCTGTGTTTTTTCCCCTCCTTTCTAATTTTCCCTCCTTTCCGTTCATTGTGCATCTTTATGATGTGAAATGTTACACGAATACTGTCATGTTTTGAGTTTTGGTTGATGAATTTTATCCAGTCCATTAAGAACAAAAAATTGTTATTAATTTAATGGAAACTATTTGTTGAAGATATCGGATATAAATGCGCGTGTAGAAATCGAGGAATTTGATATGATCCAGAACTGTGGAAGACAACGCATTCCATTGAAGGTTATTATAAAATGTTGTTTATTGCCGTCATCGTCTCATTATTTTTTCAAACAAATATTGTTTTGTTATGCGTTTGTACTTGATGTTGTTGACGTCGAAATTTGTTGTATTGCATGAAACGTGTTGTATTCAATATGAGTGATGAGCACTCTGAAATAATTTTTGGAAGGGAAATTGATTAACGTTTTTCTCAGTGTGACAGTGTGTGGAATTGTCCAGATAAAAATCATTCACTTTCAAAGTGAATGAATCTGACTACATGTTCATCGTGTTGAATAGTTTCATGTTCAGGAAATGAAGATAACAAGTAATGTTGACCAACGACTAAAGAAGAAATGCCGTGAACGCGCAAAGTTGGGCATCGGCACAACGGAATCGATTCTGGAGTATTGGTACGATTGTTTGTATGGGAAACGACAAAAGAAACAGTACATGAAAATAAACCTTGTTAAATCGTCACGAAGCACGATGAACTTTATCGCGAGGTATTGATTCAGATACGCGTTCACAAATCTAACCGAATACAACTGCTCATCAACTGAACTATGTTTTGGCTTTTGTTCACAAAATTTATTTAGTAACGACTTGTTTTTATCAGAGGCATTTTTAAAGTTTTCATCGATTTAACTAATCGGTTGCAGTTGGATCATTGAACGACATAAGAAAAGAGCAAAGTCTAGCGCAGCTGAGCGAGTCGCGCTTCGAGACAAACCAGATGATCAACGCGGTGAGAGCACTTTTGTAATATATTACTGATTTAGTTTGGGTTTGACTGTTAAGGCTTCTACCTATACTTGAACGCCATTAATATTTGATGAGGTTTGTCAGTCAGTTAGAAATTATCGGCCACAATGAATATGAAATCGTTTTGACCGCTTAATGTGGATGGTATTTGTTGAAGGAAAGGCTGGTCGAGAAAGTTTGAATTTGAACAATTACGAAGATGGAGCGTTTTTGAGCGATGACGATGGCGATGGAGGTGATGCGTTCGAGAATGAGGAAGAACAGAACGTTGAGGCAGTTAATGCTGGCTAGTTTTGCTTAGTTAATGATTAGCGGTGGTAATTCCTTAATAGTAAATATTCTATGAGAGTATAATGATGAATTCGTAGGTAACTGTAAGCTGTTACGTTTAGTTTTTGAGATGATCCGTTCTTGAAATTCCGAAGATTTAGAAATGGGCATTTGTAAAGAAATTTGTGAGTAGACATAGTCTCAGGTTTGAAGCTGGTGAGAACTGAGGTAATGTGGAAATGAGGTGTCGTTTAGAAATAGGTGCGGATTCAGGAGTTGATCATTCGTGTAGTAAACTTATGATGAGTTTTCGATTGAACATATGCACAAGAGTGCCAAGGCGGAAAGATAGAAGAACGATATTTCGCTTTTTTATCAATTCTGATGAGAGCTGAAAGAAGTGTAAGGTGAAAGGTTGATTTGTTCAGGAGGGAATGTTAATGAGTCGTTTGCGGATGGATTGAACGATGACGATATTCATGCACAGTACGCATTCGGTAATGTCTACAATGATCGACGCACCAACACAAACGATATCACATTGGCAGCGATTTCGAATGAAATGACATTCGACGAGATTCTCAAATGTTATATGCAAAAGTTAGTTTTTCTTTTTTTAAATTCTAAATTGGTAACATTCATATATCTCTTCATACATTATCCTCGTTTACTCGAATCCAACAATAATTTCAGTGTTTTCAAAACCGAAAACTTTCAGATATTGGGCCGCAAGTGAAGAAACCACATCGAAACTATGCCAACGAGTGCAAAAATGGGAAACGAAATTGTTACCAATCCTGGAAGAGGAAGAGCGGCGCCGAGAATTCAGCATTCATGAATATGGCAGTGAAATTTTGAATGCGTTCAAAGATATTGGACAGACGATCTCATTTGAGGAGGTACATTTCGCTTTATTGAATTTACAAGCCGAACTCCACTCATAATTTCAAGAATTAATGGAAGCATGGTAGTTTCTAGTCTCATTTCAGAGATAGACGAGGTTCCATAACTTCACTCTGAAAGTATTCATAGTTCCTCTCGGTGTCCATATAAGAATTGTCGTTCTTACACAAAGAATACAGTGATGAAGAAGCAAATCTACTTACAATTAGAGTAGTTTAAATTTTCGACGTATGCAAAGAATATAGATGATGAATTTGCTTATTGTTAGCCTCTGTGGTGGCTATTTTGCAGTTATTACTGCTGGTGTTTTATATGAAATTATGTAAATATTTCTATTCAAAGTGCATCTTCTGTGAAGTAGTGATTGTTTGTGTT